AAAGTGGACTCAATTTGCACTATTTCTAGCAGTCTGCAAAGGTCTCAAAAGTGCTACGAGATCCCTTTGCACAAGAACTACCATGCCACTGTTAAAGGCACAGGAGTCCTGTCTTATGCCACCCTCCCCTCCACTATACTTTTGTATATACTAAGCAAAGTATGGTAACACTCCTCCAGTCTCTTTCCTGCACTGTCTGTGGCAGCACTTTCACACTGTGCTGTGAAGCCCTGGGGTTCCTTGGCAAGAAGTTCAATAGCAGTGGCCATACTTCCATAGAACACAGTGTGTTCATTGAGCCCTCTGCAGCAACCATGGGGGTCATCGAATCATAAAGTTGGAAGAGACCCCAAGGGCCATCCAGTCCAACCCCCTGCCATGCAGGAACTCAAAATCAAAGCATCCCCGACAGATAGCCATCCAGCCTCTGCTTAAAGACCTCCAAGGAAGCAGACTCTACCATACTCCGAGGGAGTGTCTTCCACTGTCAAACAGCTCTGACCGCCAGGAAGTTCATCCTAATGTTCAGGTGGAATCTCTTTTCCTGCAGCTTGCATCCATTGTTCTGGGTCCTGTTCTGTGGAGCAGCAGAAAACAAGCTAGCTCCCTCCTCATTATGACATCCCTTCAAATATTTAAACAGGGCTATCATATCCCCTCTTAACCATCTCTTCTTCAGGCTAAACATACCCAGTTCCCTAAGTTGTTCCTCATAGGGCATGGTTTCCAGACCCTTCACCATTTTAGTCACTCTCCTCTGGACATGCTCCAGATTCTCAACATCTTTTTTTAACGTTGCTGCCCAGAACTGAATGCAGTATTCCAGGTGGGGCCTGACCAAAGCAGAATACAGTGGCACTATTACTTCCCTTGATCTACATACTATACTTCTATTGATGCAGCCTAAAATCACATTGGGTATTGGTATTGAGCAGAGCTTGGAAAGATGTATCATGACTAACACACTAGGTGTAACACATTACTTTTGGGAGTATTAGTGTAGCATAGTGGTTTGAGTGTTGGACTACAATTCTGGAGACTAGGGTTCGATTCCCAGTTCAGCCATGAAACCCATAGGTGATCTTGGATAAGTTACATGCTTTCCATCTCAAGAGAAGGCAATGGCGAGCCCCATCTGAAAAAATCTTGCAACCCCCCCCCCCCATGAAAATATCACCTTAGGGTTGCCATAAGTTGGAAGAGACTTGAAGGCACACAACAACAATAGTAGGCATAACAGTATTTTTTTTCAAGGCTATTTTTAATCATTACAACAATAGCATAACTAATTGTCTTAGTTTGCTCATTATTTCCAGCACATTGCTTTGGAGGGGATCATTTTGGGGATGTTTGACCATATCTCTATTTTAAGTTTTGTATTTTTAAAATAAAAGTAGTCCATTAGTAATGCATTACTCTGAATAGCAAATTATCAATTTTAAAAAAATATTATTTATTCTAAAAAGATGCAACTTACTTTTCAAGAATAACATTTCGATAAGTATACAAGTGCAGTTCAGTCAAGGTGATAAAAAAAGGTAGATTCCAGTGATGATATTGTCTGCCAAATTCTATAGGCATTGCACAGTATCCTTCTTTCTTCTGTCATGCTTACTCTAGTAGCTGGAATGCTTTGCTAAATGGATAATGAATAAATAGGGTGTTTTTTTATATCCAGAAATATTGATCTAACTTAGGTTGCTTAGGGTTCTTTTTCTAGAATAGCTAAGCAAGAGCTTTTCTTCTCCAGAGTTGCAATGGGGTGATAGAGGGCGGTTGCAGACTGCCAGAAATAGTGCAAATTGAGTCCACTTTAACTGTCCTGGCTCAGTGCTAAGGAATCATGGGAACTGTAGTTTATTGTGGCACCAGAGCTCTCTGACAGAGAAGGCTCAATGTCTCAGAGAAAAAAACAATTCCCATGATTCCCTAGCACTAACCCTAACCATAAAAGTGGACTCACTTTGCACTATTCCTGGCAGTCTGCAACCCCCCTTAGAGTAAAGAGAGCCAAGGTCACTGGCATTGATGTTAGAGTAGCTAAATGCTTCTTTGTGGCTTACCTTTGTATTGGCATGGATTTTCAGAGTAAATGTAAGTTTCTGGATACGCCACAATGTGTTCATGAACTTGGATAAATCAGTGGACCTACACCACCCAGTGCATTAAGCGTGCAGTCTTTGAATTCCTGATTAATTGGTCAAACCTTACTTGAGGACCAATCTTAATAGATGGGATAATGGGCTGTCCCCATTATCTGGGCAACACAGCTGAGGGATGTGGGCTTTCCTCCAGGTAAACAAAGGGTTAATGATATGATTGGTGATGGTTGTAGTGGTGGTGGTGGTGGTGGTGGTGGTGTGCACCTTCACATCTTGATATATGGCAAACCTAAGGCAAACCTATCATGGAGTTTTCTTGGCATGATTTGTAGAGGAGATATGCCATTGCCTTTCTCTGAGACTGAGAGAATGTGACTTGTCCAGGGTCACTCAGTGCATTTTGTAGCTGAGCTGGGAATCGAACCCTGGTCTCCAGAGTCGGAGTCCAACTGGCTGTTAGGTTACATTTATTGGGGTCACCATCACATAGGATAGACAGAGGTCACAAGGGACAATTGCCCAATGTGGATGAGCTGCTTGCGAAAAGTGTGAAAGCTCTGAGACCAAGATGAGTTGTTGAGGAGCCTTTGGGGACTGATGGAGAGGTAGAGGAAGGACTGCCTCCTCCACCATTCCTAGGGAAGCTTGTTCATAGTCTGGGCAAAGAGGTCCAGACTCCTCAGATTCCAGTGAGCATCCAAAGATCCAGGATACCATCAGGATCAATAGTCAAACAGGAATCTTGAGCTAGTCATGCTAGAGCCAGTGGCATCACTAGGAGGATGCATGGGGTGCAGACTACACACCAGGTGACACTCTAAGGGGGGGGGTGACACCACCGCTCTTCAAACACCTACCTTTTAGCAGGAACGGGCTGTGGCATTCATCTGCTTTAAGAGATGATGGGAGTGGGGTGAAGCTCAGTGGGAGGAGAAAGGAGAGGCCCCAGATTTTTTTAAAATTAAAGTTTCAAAATTTTAATTTTTTTTAAATATTCTTTTTACATTTTCTTTAAAAAAATCACATTTTAACCAAATCTTCACTATGTATATGTGTAAACACATTTAGGTTGTGCATATGCTATTGTAATTTGAAGGTGCAATTTTAATTTTGTTAGTTGTATTTGTCACAACTATTAGCATTACATTCAGTGGTAAATGGGAATTGCAATTTACGAGTAACATTAGTGCAAAAAAACATTACTAAGGATTCTGTATGGTGTGAAATGGGAGGAGGTCAATGAGGGGGTGACACCCTGAGTTACCGCACCGGGTGACCAGTGGCTAGAGCTTATGTTTTTTTCCTAAACTCTGTGAAATAAGACTGTTTTGGTAACTTTGCTCCAAAACACACTGCAGAAATAATCCAGTTTGACAGCGCTTTAACTGCACTGGCTCAATGCCAGGGAGTTCTGGGAACAGTAGTTTTGTGAGACATTTAGCCTTCTCTGTTAAGAGAGCTCTAATGCCCCAATAAACTACAATTCACAGGATACCCTAGCACTGAGCCAGGGCAGTTAAAGTGGTCTGAAACTGGATTATTTCTGCAGCTCGTAGCTACTCCTAAGGCTGCAGAAATAATCCAGTTTGAGACTGCTTTACCTGCCCTGGCTCAGTGCTAGGGTATCCTCTGAATTGTAGTTTATTGGGGCACTAGAGCTCTCTTGACAGAGAAGGCTAAATGTCTCACAAAACTACTGTCACCAGAATTCCCTGGCATTGAGTGGTGTCAAACTGGATTATTTCTGCAGTGTGTTTTGGGCCAAAGTTACCTCACTTTAACTGCCAGGGCTCAATGTTATGGGATTCTTGGAACTGTGGTTCTGTGACACATTTTTGCCTTCTCTGTCAAAGAGTTCCATCAAACTACAGTTCCCAAAATTCCATTGCATTGAGCTATGGCAGGGGTATGAAACTGGATTATTTCTGCAATGTGCATGCAGCCTAAGTAATGCCAGAAGGAAGGTGCCTTTATGTAAAAGATACCCTTTTGCTAATGTAAGATTAATGTAGAATAAAAGCTTTCTTGATAAGATCTCCTCTTTTCCACTTCTCTTTAAATGTGCCTTGCTAAGTGTGTACACATATGTGTGGATAGGATGCTTATCTCCCCTGGGACACAGTCTCTGCCAAGCCAGAGATGGAAGCAAAACCCATCAATGACTTCCCACTAAGTCACTGAATCTTGGAGTGCAAAACATAATGGATGGTAGCAGTTGATAGAATTAAGGGATTCCTCTCTCCTACTCAAGAGCAGGAAACCATGCTACTAACAATACAAGAAGTTCTGGTTTCAAGCACATGCATTTACATTTTTAATGGTAGTTGTTCTGGCCTGTCATTTTAATAGACAGTGGAGGAAAAATCTTAAAAGCTGTCTTTTACTGATGAAAAATGGTAGAGTTGTTCTTATTAATTTTATGTTCTTTCACTTCCATGGATATCTGGGGAGGGGGGGATCTATGGTCTAAAACACACTGTAGAAATAATCCAGTTTGAAACCGCTTGAACTGCCCTGGCTCAGTGTTAGGGAATCCTGGGAATCGTAGTTTATTGTGGCACCAGAGCTCTCTTGACAGAGAAGGCTAAATGTCTCACAAAACTATAGCTTCCAGAATTTCCCAGAGCAGTTCAAGCGGTCTCAAACTGGATTATTTCTGCAGTGTGTTTCGGGCTTAAATTATGGTTTTGGTCATATACAAATTTACCGGAATTTAATTTAGCTAGCCAGCATGGCATAGTGGTTTGAGTGTTGGACTATGACTCTGGAGACTAGAGTTTGATGCCCAGTTCAGCCATGAAACCCACTGGGAGACCTTGGGCAAGTCACACTCTCTCAGCCTCAAAAGAAGGCAATGGCAAACTGCCTCTAAACAATCTTGCCAAGAAAACCACATGATAGGGCCACTTAGGGTTTCCATAAATCGGAAAAAACTTGAAGGCACCCAACAACAACAGCCCAATAATCACTCATTTCAGAGCCCTCAATGTTAATAAAAAGTGATAACCAATTCATACTTTATACTTAAACCCAGTACAAAGTGTATCTGAGTTTAAATGCCAAACTATATAAGCAGTTCTGTCTGTGAATGCCTGCTCCTGCATGTTTAGCAGAAGCCTGATGTACAGGTAAACCCTTTCCTGACATGGAGATAAGTGTCAACTTGTTAAATGTTTTGAGTGTTTAGGCTGCAGTTAAAGGCACTGAAGTGACACCAGCAAGAAGGTAGCACCCTGCATCTTCAGCTGCCCAATTTCCTCTTTCATGAGTAGACTGCCTAGTTTCATATCTGATAGACTTAATGCACTGTAATTATTCTTTATGTAATTTCCTCCCACTTGCTCTGTTTGCTTCCTGCCTGGATGCCAGATCGCTTCTAGCTGTCTCCCCTATTTCTTTGCAGAGAGATGAGGGAGAGAAAGATGAGGCATTGAATAAGCATGCTCTCATGGCCAGTGACTTCTGCAAAGAATGTAATTACTCCAAAGCCTTGTAATCATGTGGAATGGTTCCACTGAGATGCTGCTATTGGATCTTCCAGGGGAGACTAAAATCAGTCTTGAATTCTTTAGTCAGTCTTCCCCCAAACTGGTACTTTCTAGGGCTTTTAAACAAAAAATCTTACCCCATCAGCATAGGACTCGGAGTTATAGTCCAAAACATCTAGAGGGTATCAGGTTGAAGAAGACAATTGTAATGATACCTTTGGGTTGCGCTAGTAATTAAAATTTGATGGGAAAGTATGCTAACAGGAGATACAGGTTCAAGAAGGAGAACAAGTCTTTCCCCTAAAATCATCTATGCCACAGAGTTAGGGAGGGTATCAAGGACTGGTGATCTTAAACAGGGAAACTAAAATGTTTGGTACAAACTATATGTTATATTGTTCATGCTTTGCACAAAGGAAAAGAAAGCATACTTTAAAAACTGAGCGTTTAAACTAATGCAGAGTAAAATAAATGA